TAGAATAAACTATTTCAAAGTGTTATCAGCAAACCTTCCTTACACTGAGCGATAAACTATTAAAAATTAAACCTGCCCCTGGGGTTTTACTAGCAGATCAATATGCCTCAGCTCAGAAACCTGGATCACTGGAGAAAGCATGTGAGCCTGCTCATTTCTAAGGCACTCATTCAGAAATGACCGTCTTTATCATCCCTCTCCCCTACCCTGGGTTCCGAGTTTCCTTTCTCTATAACTAACTGCCTAGCTACAATGCAAGAGTGTCTGGCTGAACGTGAGGACATCAACATACCCCCACTTAAGACTGCACCGCCGCCACTTCTGTATCATAGAATCTGAACAAGCAACCAATCTGAATTCTCATTCCAACTGCTACATGTTTCACAAGAACAAAGGCGACCGCTGAGCTTGTTTTAGGCACTGGAAATTTTTGCAGCTGGGTCCACACAAGGCTGGCTGCAAACATCTTCCCAAACAAACCAAGGGTAAATTATTCCTTTGAACTCCTCTGAGGGGAAATGAAGCTTGCATTTATCTTGACAGGAGGTGGTGAAGCCATGTATAGATTTAGCATTTACAACTACTAGTAAGGAAAGCACTTGGCATCCATGGTTTAGTGTATAAAAGAAAGTGTCAATTACAATGAAAATCTGCCCCTTGCCAGAAACACCCATTCACACTTAGCTGCTTCCAGCAATATTAATACTAGACTAGAGCCAGCCAGCCTCATGAGCTTGAAAAAAAAGCATCGAAGAACCAATCTGCGACCACTAAAATGAGGACTCACTTCATAGTCTGAACAAGTTAAATGAACACACATACATACATACACACTCCAACCTGCCAGAATCACCATAGGAAATACTCTAGGTATGGCTAGTAACATCAACAAAAACCCCTTCAATCAAAAATAAATAATAAACAAACCCCATCTGGCCAAAGCACTTGCAGAAAAGGTAGTATAAGGATTACCTCAAATGGCACACCCCAGCCATCAGCAATCTGTCCACAAACTCCTATAGCAGGTTGAAAAAGGCTGTGGTTCTCTCTTCAGAGTGATATTCTGTTTGCTTTTTCTATTTTTATGAGATGGGGTTTCATTGTATTGCCCAAACTGCTTGAGTTTGTGAGTTCAAGAGATCCATTTGCTCTGGTGAAGAGGACTACAGGCATACACCAACACTCCCAACTCAGATTTTTTTTTTCAGATTCTTATTTTATGTGTTTGAGTGTTTTGCCTGCATATGTCTGTGAACCACTTGGATGTTAGTTGTCCACAGACATCAGAACCTGTAACTAGAGTCACATGATTTGTGTTGTGAGACACCATGTGGGTGCTGGGAATAGAACCCAGGTCCTCTGGAAGAGCAGCCAGTGGCTTTTTATTTTTTTTCACATTCCAATCCCAGTTCCCCCTCCCTCCTTTCCTCTTACTACTCCCCCCTCCTCCCATCTGCTCCAAGGAGAGGGTACGGCCTCCTCTAGGAAGTCTACCAAGTCTGTCCCATCATCTCATTGAGGCAGGACCAAGGCTCCTCTCTACCTCCCACAGCCGTGTCTAGGCTGGGCATGGTATCTGTCCATATAGAATGGGCTCCACTAAGTCAGTCTGTGCATTAGTGTTAGATCCTGGACCCACTGCCAGTGGCCTTATATATTGTCCCAATCACACCATTGTCACCTATATTAAGGGAGTCTAATTCGGTCTTATGCTGGTCACCACTTGTCAGACCTGAGTCAGTGATCTCTCACTACCTCGGTCAGCTGATTCTGGGGGTTTCCCCATCATGGTCTTCACTCCTTTGTTCATATTATTGCTCCACCCTCACTTCAAATGTACTCCAGGAGCTTGGCCCATTGGTTAGTTGTGGATTCCTGCATCTGCTTCCATCTATTTATTGAAGAGGGTTCTAGCTTCTCTGGGGTTGCAGATTGTAGGCTGTAACCAGTGTTTTTAAACTACTGAAGCATCACTCTGCCCCTCAAAATGCTTTAAAATGCATAAAATAAAATTAAGAATTAGAAAGGAAGCAAGTAAATTAAGCAATTTTATTTGTACTCTGGATCTTTGAGTTACAGCCAAGAGTAGTATCACACAGCAAGCACTGCACTCAGGAGGCAGAAGCAAGAGATCTCCATGAGTTCCAGGCCAGCCACACGAGAGAGACCCTGTCTCAAAAAACAGAACCCGGAGTGTGGTTGTCTATTCAGGCCCTAAAACAATTTTACCTCATTTGTTCCTTATAGGAGAGCCTCCCCCTCTGGACTGGAATGAACTGGCTTCTTTGCTTCTCTTTATCTCTTTGGTTACTGATTTTCACACAAAACTTGCCCTCTATTATAAGAGCCAATGGAACAGGACTTCTGACAGAACAATAAAATTCTCAAGCCAAAACCAGAGTTGCATTTTAGTTCTCTCCCGTTTTCTGACAGATATTTTAATGTTTAACTGGCTCACAAATCTACATAACATACCTTGCATCTCACACAATTATTTTATTGGCAGACAGAGGAGAAACAGTGACTCCTGAAGGCCATATCCCAGCTGTTTTTCAATTGACATGAGGATGTGGTTACATACATTAACAACACTGCCTAATACCTAGTCAGTCACCTGCTCATCTGTGCCTCTGAAACTTGGCAGGGCTCACCTCCAAGGAGAGGGAGGCACGCAGTTGACATTGCCATGAACCTTTACTCCAGCTAACCCTGGCAGGCTGACACTGTCCCTCCACTCCACTCTTCAGAGCTACAGAGAAAGTCAATTTCTACTTTTACATAAATGGCCTGTTTCGGCTTTGTTTGCTCGCTTGTGTTTTTAAAACTCTGTCTCACTGTGTAGACCATGATGGCCCCAAACTCACAGAAATCCATCTGTCTCTGCCTCCAGTTGCTGGATTAAAGGTGTGAACAATCTGGCTAAATAGAATGTTTTTATCTCAGTCTTTTTGATTATGGACATGAAAAGCATTTTGTGAAGAAAACACAAAAAGGTGTAAAACCAAATCTACACCATTTTTCTGCTGTCTTTTCTTTTGCCTCATTAAAAAGTGACATTAGTCACTATTGTTAGATGTCATATCCTTGGAAGGCCAGCAGAAAGTGTTCTCACTAACCCTGCCCTACTGCCTTCTACTGCGACCTTAGGATGCTGAATTCAAAAGGAACTCAACTGAGATAAACAGGTTCCCAAACTGAACTTAGCAGTAAAACAGTGTTAACGAGTTTGTTTGTTTGACAGCATAGGTTCCTGTTTACACCCTTAGACGGCAGTGAGAGACCGTGAGGCACTTCCCTGTCATAGCATGATCAAACACTGGTGACAACATGAGTGAAGACTGCTAAAACTTCACATAAATCTGATGAGCTTTTGAATACTATGATGACAGGACAGGACAAATACTGTATAAACCCATTTATCTGAGGTATTTAAAACATGAAAACAGGCCTGGAAGGAAGAGAGACCTGGGAGAAGAAATACATTTTGGAGATAATAATAGTTAATGCTATTCAACTTTATACTTAATTACAAAACTTGGGTGTTCTTGTTATGTATTCTTTCCTGCAATAAAAATAATGGGCAAATAATTAGCAATGTGCAGGTGCACTTTCTGCGGATAAAGGAAGAGCAGCACCAGTCATTCGGTGAGGGGCACACATGCTTTCAGAGTTTCTACTCCGATCACAACACTTACACTGTCCCAATCGTATTCCCTGCTCTTCTCCAGGTGCCACGGTGGCGAAGCTGAGGGAGGGGAGGGGAGAAGAGAGCTAACCTCCCACTGCCTCTCTACCGGGCACAGCCCCGGAGCACAGATTGCAGCAGGGACAGCAAGCGCCTTTGGGGTGCCGCTTGCTAACAACGTGACGTTTTTGTAGGTCACACAGGCATACTGAGATAGTGGAAGGGAACGTAGCAGTGTGAATGGAAAATAAGGATGGCTGAAATATAAAGCAAAGGTCTTTGCCCTCGTGCATGCAGCCCATCTTTGAACAACACAAAAGGAATCTAAGACTGAAAGCAACCTGCTCAAAAGTTTATGGCTTAGGAAAAGCCAAGAAAGGAGCAGAACTTAGTAAACCAAGTAATTCTCAGGCTCCTAAGATTCCTAAGAGGTCTCAGGACTTTTGTCCCACATGAGCAAAGATAAAAAGAAAAAAGTAATTTCTTGTATTCTATTCCTGGGGGACTCTCACAGACAAACTTCGCAGTTAAACTGTCTGAGTAGTCCAATGAATATTGAAGTGGGCCTAGAGATAGTTAAAAATGACATGATAAGCCGGACCACACAAAACCAATGTTAATACACTGCAATAATGTGTCACCATTTATTACTTCTGCCACCTTGTATCCCCCGTAAGTGCACATCCATCTGTTATTACATATAACAATCACTTGTCATGGGACTTTTAAACCTTTCACTGCATAAATACATACTATACACAAATGAAGTAGAAATATATGTTTGGGTATTTTAAGTGTCTTGAAATTTTATATAAAAATTAAATACTCTGCACCTAAGATGTAGGAAGGTTTTTTGACCCACCAATCCTTACACCAACAGTTTGTATGAAAGGCACTTTAAAGGTGTGTGTGAAAATATAAAAAATGTAAGACATTTCTATTTTCTGTGTATGAGTGTTTTACCTGTATATATGTTATGTGCACCACTTGTACCTGGTGTCAAAGAAGAGGGTGTCACAATCCCAGGGACAGGAGTTACAGATGGTTGTGAGCTGCCATGTGGGTGCTGGGAACTGAAATCAAGTTCTCTGGAAGAGCAGCCAGTGCTCTTAACCCGAGTCATGTCCCTAACACCCAGAAGAATTCTAAATTCCTGTCACTCGCTAGTGACTTTGAGATTATGCATGTTCTGTAATGGATACATGTGTTCTTGTCAGTATTAGTCTGTTCTGTTGCCCTCAACTTTTGGCAGCGTTGTTTAAGGAATTTAGTAAAGCAAGCAAACAAAAAAACAAAACCAAACAAACAAAAAATATTTTCCATGGATGTCTTTGTGAAATTTAATTTAGTTCAGTTTAGTCAGGGAATCTGCACAAATTAACCATGTACCCCAGGTGTCATCTCATTCCTGAGAAGCATTAAACCAAGTCAGGCATAGTATTGGGCCCAAAAAACAAAAGTATCTAGATTCTAAAGTATCTTGCCCTTCACAGAAGTAGCTCTAAACAGTAATTCTGTGTGTGTATGGGGGGGAGGTAGGTGTGTAGCTGGGTGTGTGATAAGCACCAGTAATGGTTTGGGGAATTTCACAGTAGAAGGTGTAGTCTATTACATGCCTGAACTGATTAGGTAAGGAAAGAGAGTCCATCTCTCCTATCTGCTCCAGCTTTCACTCAGGAGAAAATGTGGCTGTCAATAACAAAGGCTATGGTTGCTATCCTCCCAAGGCTAAAGTCTATTGTGTTTTATTAATTCAACATTAATTTTCTTAGCTGACTTCTTAGATGGTCCAAAAGTCTGGCCACCTCAAAATGAACATTATCTATCACAAAACTCCAGCATTTTCCAGAGGAAATGCCTAACTTTTGGCTTCTTCAGTTATAAGCACCAATCTTTTTTCCTCCAGGTTCATAGGATTAACTCCCACACTCTGACTCTGCCTAAGAAATGTTCTTCAAAATATAAAGCAGTGATTTGAAAGCCTAGCTGAACAGAAACACTTTCACAGTCCACAGCTAGGAAGTAAATCTCTTCAGACAGCTTTAGGTGATTTTCCCCCACAGGTCATTGTTGAAAACTCAAACTGCCTCCTAACTGTCCTAAAGGCAGGCACCTGGATGGTGAGAATGTCTTCAGTAAACAGAAAGCAAATAAAAGTGGTATGTAGAAACAAAGAAGTGGAGAACTTGTATTTTTAATTAACAGAAAGGTTTAAAAAATAGACAGATTCAAATGAAAATACAAAATGCATTCTAAAGTAAAATTAAATTTGGATTATCTATCATTTTAATTATTAACACCATTTCACTAACCCCAAAGTATAGAAAAGTTACGAAAACAACATTTCACTAGTTCTTGTTTCCGGATGTTTTTATATTACAGAATACAACAAAGAAAAGACAAATTCAGAGTAAGACTTAGGAAGCCCTACACTGTGGGAATTAAGTCCATTGCTGATTGAAATCAATGCTTTTCTTTCTTTCAGATGGTATTTTCCTAGCCCTAAAGAAATGCTTGTCAAATAATAGTTATACTGTCTGCATAATAATGATTTTCTGTGAGAATTAAACATTTTAAAAGCTGCCAGCAAAGGCACTGGTCACTTCCAAAGCGGTTCTGACCACCAACCTTTTTAAATGAGTAAGAGGTAACATCAAAAGAGGAAACGGATCCAATCCGGAAAGACTGAACCTCAAAAGGCACTGCTCAAACTACTGATCTGAAATGCTCAAAATGTATTCGCTGTCTGCCATTCCCCAGTGGTCCACTCAGTGTTTAATGACATTTGCTATACATTGTACAAAAGGACTGTAGCTCTCAGCACAAGCAGAATGTAAATTGGGAAGCTAATTATGACTCATATCCCTTGTACATAGACTGGACATAAAGCTCTCAGTCCTAGATTTGATAATACTACTACATCGAAGAACTAGACTTTCAGAGACCCCCCTTCTACCTAAACCCACTCTCCGACAAAGGCCAAAGCAAAGGGAAATACAAGACAGGATTTCCAGAAAGGACTAGTTACAAGCAGAGCAATCCTGGACTCTTTACTCACCGTTTTAATACTGCTGCCAGCTGTAACAAATTAAAATCTGTACACATGACAAAATGGAAAAAAGTTCTAAAATGCAAGTTTTAGAAAAAGAACATACTAAGGATCACTACTACAATTACCATTGCAACAGTAAAAACGATGGCAAACAGGGATTTGGCACCACATTTGAAAGGAAAAGCATGCACTGCTGACACACTTTAGATGTCTCCAAACCAAAGGTCACAAAGATGGAAAACAAGGGGCACCTTATACAACATTCTCTGTGACCAAGACAAACAGACAAGAATCAAAGTGGCCAATTTAGTAGATATGTAGCAGCAAGTCACTGGTCTGAATTTAGCAGTTTGCACATCTAATTGACAGCTATCCTGGGTGAGTCTGTATCCAAGAAATGGAGTTTATCATATTACGTCAGTATTCATTTAGTAATTTGGTAATCAGCATAAACAAGGTTAATCTTCAACCATAGGCTTAAAGAAATGAGAGCTAGAAGCATACTGTAGAATTCTCCAAAGTAACTGTTGTTTAGAAGCCATCATGGCACTTTAAACATAACAGTAACATAAATTTCGGTCAGAAAAGCTGTATTAATGTAGTCCCAATAACCAGGAAGAATTAATTATGGAAATATGGGAATATTGCATACCAAGAGCTAAAAACAAACAGTTCCTACTAAGAGGAATATTTTCAAGATGTCTGGTCGCATCATGTGCATAGTTAAGACTGAGTTCCCAAGATTCTTTTGCAAACAAGATTTTTTTAGTTTTTCTTCTCTTGATGAGAAAAACCTTAGAAATTAACTACAGGTGATTTGTTAAAAAGGAAAAGGTGAGCTATATATTTAAGTTCCGGAATGCAGCAGCACCTCGACTTCAATATGCCCTAAACATTTGAGACTATAAAATCCAAGTGATGCCTTGATGAGTCAACCATAGTTTACAGTTGTTCCAATTCCGATGTGTGATTTGAACATCTCATGCCAACTAAACATTCCCTAATACAGAAGATTGTGCTAAAGAGTGCTAAGATTCTGCATGCTGCTGCCATTCCCTGGTCCCGCCATGCTTGTAGCTGACCCAAGAGACAGCAGGTGATATCTGGTCTCGACACTCCTCATTGTAGTAACTAAAAAAGAAGAACATTGTTAATTAGAAAAACATTTACAATGGCAAAAGACACCACCATAACACTGCAACTAAGCTGTCTAAAGTTATACCTTTTACTAATGCCATCCTCTCAATAAAGTCCACATTCCTTTAGGTTGTTTTTAATGATGACATCTGTAACAGCATCAAAAACAAACTGCACATTTTTGGTGTCTGTGGCACAGGTGAAGTGAGTGTAGATCTCCTTGGTATCTTTTCTTCGGTTCAGATCTTCAAACTGGCACTGAATGTAAGCAGCTGCCTCTTCGTATGTATTGGAACCTGAAACACACAACCAACATTGTCAGCTCAAATTGTAACAGCTGCTTGCACCCAGCTAAATTAGGCCATCAGTATTTACTTAAGAAAGGCAACACAACACATTCGATTACAAACAGAATTCTTCCTCCATTTCTATTGTCATTAGGATTTTCTATAATCATTAGAATCTTCATGAAAACAGACTACCACTGTGCCTAAAATAAAACCAACACACAGACACAGACACACAGACACACACAGACACACAGACACACACAGACACACACACACACACACACACACACACACACACACACACACGGAATTAGGAAAGTAACAAGTTTCACTTCCTCTTCATTTAGATTTATCAGCTGAAAAAGAAATCTAGACAGTACACAAAGAGCTAGAAGAGTCGGTGGGTCCGATTCTAGAGAATGAAGCTATTTAAAATGGCACATTTTACCCCTTGGAGTGAATCTGAAATAAGGATTCCAAAAAGGTAAAGCATTCATTTAAAAATCATTCCCATTTTAAAGAGGCCCAGGCAAAGGCAAACTAGCAGATGGGAAACAAGTGGGAGACTAGTAACATCCTTTGCCACATGGTCACTCTCATCCATGACTTCGTCCCTCATCCTCCCGTGCTGAGATTCAGGAATGACTATGCACAACTAGTAACACACTTAGGGTTAGGTCTATTTCAATAGAGCTGTTGCTTTTTAAGGAGTAGGGGCAAGAGAAGACCAACAGTATGCCTATTTTTAATATTTGTAATTAGCACTAGTCGTCTACCTTCCACACCATCTTTTGGCCTTGGGAAGCCTTTAGTTAAGACAGACTTAGAAACTGCCTGTTTACCCAGGTAATCTATAAAGACAACATGCAGTTGTTTCCATAAACCAGAGACATTTTCAGTGAGATCAAGCATGACAAGAAGTATCAAATCAGTGCATAAAGAAGACTGGGAAAGAGAGAGGAGCTCATAAAAGAGAATACCACAAAGAGCTGAGTGTTGGTGGCGCACACCTTTAATCCCAGCACTAGGGAGGCAGAGGCAGGTGGATCTCTGTGAGTTCGAGACCAGCCTGGTCTACAGACAGAGTCCCAGGACAGCTTTCAAAGCCACACAGAGAAACCCTGTCTGGAAAAACAAAACAAAACCAAAACCAAACAAACAAAAAAAACAACTACATAGAATAAAGAACTAAAGGAAGAATACTTAGGTGCCCTAAAGCATGTTTCTTGAAATCTGAAAGAAAGCTTCTAAATTTAAAAGGGCAGCCAAGAGAAAGGGGAATTTTATTCAGTAAGAACATATACTGGTGCCTGGTAACCCAGGACTGTAGAACAGAGGCGGTGGGAAACAGTCTTGAAGCTCACAAATGGCAAGAGAGTGAGGGATCTTTCCCGTGTGTATAGTGAGCCACTCAACGTCAACCTTTCTAGTCAAGATTCTTTCCCTGCCCTCAACAAGTGCGCCTTCTACAAGCACACCTAATCCTTACCTCCTTACTCTAAACAGATGACATTTTCAACATTCCGAAAGTCAAAGGGTTTAAATTACCCCCTCAAGTATCTCTTCTCTGGTCCAAGAAGAACCTTCTATGCTGATAAAGAAATCTAAGACTAATTGTGAGGCCAGTGCTGACACCCTCATAAATGGGGCCAGGAAGAGGGAAACAGTGCCCTATAGAGTTGTTTTTTTTTTTTGTTGTTTGTTTGTTTCTTTAACTTTATGTATAAGTGCATGCACATGTGTGTAGGTGCCCACAAAAACCAGAAGAGGGCACTGGATTCCCTGCAACTGAAGTTACAGGTTGTTATAAGCCATCATATGGGTGCTGGGAACCAATCTGAGTCCTCTGTAAAAAGTGATCTTTACCACTGAGCAATCCTTCCAGTGCCTCCCATAATTATAAGGAAATTTCACCAAATATATATTTAACCATTTTTTAAGTATGTTACTCTAGAACATTTAGTATATTCATGACATTATATAACCACTACCATCCTAGTTTGAAAATATCATTTGAGAAAAATACTCTTGTTATCATTAGGTAACATGCCCCCCCCAAAGTATGCTTCCTTTTTTTTCTAAGGATTTGCCTATTTTAGATATAGTATATAAAAGGAGCCGTACATTATATGGCTTTTGTGTTTGGATTCTTTTACTTAGTATAGTGTTTTTGAGGCTTATTCAAGATGTAGCACCTACTAGTATTTAGTTCTTTTTATGACTGAGTTAACACTCTACACATATGCCACAATTTGCTTATTTATGTTAACTTGAATCTTAATTCTTTTTTTCCCACCTGCTTGTTTATTTTTTATTTTGGTTTTTCAGTACAGGGTTTCTCTACAGCTTTGGAGGCTGTCTGATCTGTAGACCAGGCTGTCCTCAAACTCACAAAGATCCGTCTATCTCTGCTTCCTGAGTGCTGGGATTAAAGGCGTGTGTCACATTCTGGCTCCCACCTCTGCTTCTTTTTTCCTATTTAGCCTATGAACATTTTATATCCCTCTCTCCTTATTTTATAGCATCTCTCTGGTCACTTCCTTGATCTCCAATATGTTAATTACTGATGTTTTCAAATGTGTATATATAAAACCTAACCTTTCCCTATGTTCCTAGCATAAAAATAACCACTATCTGGTTGTCCCACAGATACTGCTAAACCAACATTCCTAAATATGAGTTCAGATCAAGCAAAAGCATCCAATTGAGACACGAGTGCAGACACATTTGACTTCTCATTTCCTAACATTTGCTGTATCTTTTCATCTGATTATAAAAGAACACCGCATCTCAGATAACAAAAGTCCCTTCCATGGAAACAGCTAACTCTGACTTTACACAGCTTTGACAGTGGTGCAGTCCTGCCAGCCTTACTAGTTTGTGATTCCTAATCTCAAGTGACTGACTGGTCTACAGCTTTTTACCATCTTTAACCAGAGTCTTTTCCTAGAAACCTGAACTTGAGGTTAAGCAATCCCAGTGCAGCCTCACTGTTTTAATGGAGGAGCACAGAAATGGTGGTGATGCCATCTTATGACCGAATAGCCATGAAAGTTGGTAAGTGAACAGAAAAGAAAGAATAAATATGGAGTTGAGAAAAAGAGATACAGATGAAGGCTACTCCATTAGAGAGGTGCCAGCAGCAATTTCAGTATGAATTTCATTCTTACACCCACCTGCATCTTTGCCCTTGGCTTCTAAGATGCACCTCCTGGCTCTCAGCAAAAGGTTTTCTTTGTACCTAAGACAGCCCTGACTAACCACCTTACTATCTCACTACACTACTGCTACGGCGCTGTTCCAACCATACGTACCCACCGAAACTCTTCACTAGTTCCTCACTGGCACAGTGGGGGACAGAAGGCTGGCCTCACTCCTTCTACCGCTTTGAATTCCACTGCTGCCATATTCAGAACAAGCCAGGCCACTTGTTGGCCTCCATACTGTCTTACGTGCAATTCCCTCTCGATATGCTTTTATTCTACCCATGACTTCCACAGCATCCTTTTAATAACTCACATAACTGCTATTGCCCCTAGAGAAAAAACACACTGACTCCACCAGGGCTGAACTATCGACTCTACTTCTGGTAATATATATTTTACATTATAAAGCTATTTGTGAATTTCTTTGTGGAACTAATATTAGTTTCTTAAATTTTATTTTTTGTATCTCTTTGGACATATGCTAAAATTTAATTTTTATACTTCATTTTCCTCAAAAAAACCAGGACACTAATCTCTGAAGTAATTAAACTTAAGGATCTTACTCAGACACTTAATTCTGAGGTCACTGTCAGTGAATGTGTGAACCATCAGTGCTGACCCAAGACACAGCCACAACAGAGCCCATGACCTTTACCTGTGTATTCTGGATAACAGATTGTTAACGGGCTCCTCTTTATCTTTTCCTCAAAAAGGTCTTTCTTATTAAGAAAGAGGATGATTGACGTGTCCGTAAACCATTTGTTGTTGCAAATGCTGTCAAACAATTTCATGCTTTCATGCATCCGGTTCTGAAAAACAAACAGGGTTACGACAGGTTAGCATCAACATGAAAGCAGATTCACTTATATACCCAGGTCTTAGGGCAGCAAAATGAATTATGGAAGACAGGCTCTAGTATAACTTGAAGCTGAGTCAACCGTGATTTGTATAATTCTTGGGGTTAGGGAAGAGAAGGGATGCCTGACAAGATGCGGTCCTGTCCACATAATGTGGCTACCAAGAGCAAATGGGGAATGGAACAATTGGTTTAGGGAATCTAACCTCACTGACAAGAAAATAAAAGGCATTAAGTTTTGATTTCTGTGAGCAAATGGGAGCAACCCATCTTCCTGAGTTACGTTGTTTCCTAGATGTATGGTGGATCCAAAGCTTCAACATACCATTTCCTCATCCTCGGCCAGAACAAGGTCATAGTCACTGAGGGCCACACAAAAGATAATCGCTGTCACTCCCTCAAAACAGTGAATCCATTTTTTTCGTTCTGATCTTTGGCCACCTACATCAAACATTCTGAGTAAAGAAAGAAAGCACAGATTCAGCAAACTCACATTCATATTTCTCCCTAGACTGTCATGTTTAAGAACCTCCCCGTTATCACACTTTCAAACCCATTTATAACAGGAAAGACAAGGATCAAATCAAACGTGTCTAAATAATTGTCAGTGGCTAAAAGCAGAGCCCACAGCCGAGCCTCCCTCCCTTTCAAAACATGTACTGGATGTGCCAAATGTCAGCGGAGTTAAGAACTAAAAATGGATTCAAGGAAGGAAGGAAAAGAAAGGATAAACGAAGAGCTGAACAGTGCGGCTTAAGATAACTGCAGCCATAACAACCAGTGTTTGCTGAGTGTTTACCATGGTGCCAGCCACTACCCGAGGCCATCTGGCACTCTAACTCCAGTCTCTATAGACTCCTCAGCCCCACTATGCTGCCGCTCAAACTGGCTTGTTTCTGCACACCCATCTTGCATTCTGACTCCTAAGTTTATCTGCCTTGTGTTAATGGAATTATACAAGGAAAATTATAGAAAAAAATTCAATTTTATTCTAGGAGTCTAAGAATTTGATCAATGATTTTTCTTAAAATCTGTGCCAAGTTTGGGGGCAATGATTATAATCTTAGCATTTTGGAGGCTGAGAAAGAATGGCAAGTTCAAGGCCAGCCTGTCTACACAGCAAGACTATCACAAAAATAAACTTAACCAGTATTTCCAACACCTTACCTTGCTTGAACCTAATCAGCAACAGCAAAGCCTCACTTGTTCACACACTGTGTCTACTCCAGATTTCTTTTAGACCTCTAAGCGCTAAGTTTGTGTCAACAGTGCTGTGGTTACCTCCTACTATGACAGGAACAGTGGCCCTAATTTGTCTTTTCGTCAATACCTGAGTCTGATGGAATCAGCATTCAAATGCTCACACACTCTCAAGATCTGTATCTGATAGCAATGGTAAAGTTTTTAAAGGCTAGTATTTGCTACACTGGTCTAATGAATGAAATCTTCAGCAACTCAGAGCCTAAATTTCCAGGGATTTTTCACCACTACAGATTAAGAGAAGTAAGGTTCCCATGATTTCTCTAATTATGTTTGAAGTGAATATACATCCTATCTCTTCCTGATCCAACTCTTTCTTGGAAGATCTTGCAGTTCTTTGCAACCTTTGGTCTTACATGACAGCTAAATGATATAATCACAAGTTGGCCTTAATTCAGAGTCGTACTGAAGATTTTAGAAAGACTAACATTTCACTATACAAATCTTTCAAAGAGAGGCATATTAGTACACCAACAATTCCACTTTACATCCCATTGCCTATAAGTCCACAAAACTAGAGAATGCTATAAATTCCCAATGCTGGCTTTTAGTACATAGTAACACAGTATTATTCACTAACAGATCAACATTTTATAAACATTACCTCATAACTGAGAGGCAAGTAAGCAATTACACAATGCCTTGCATATGGTAGATGCTCAATAAATGTTTGAATAAATGGATAGTGGTTTTGCCTAGAGAGAAGAGGAAAAGGAGAGGTGATAGTACTTCATAATCAGATATCTACATGCCAATAATAAAGTGGATGTGGCACTAATCTGACTTGCCTACTGACGCTTGCTTAGAAAGAAAGTTACCTTGCTAAAGATCAATCTATGATATCAACCAGAAATGTTTCCCACACTGAATATTGGTCTTGGTATTTAATTAGAACTGAATTATTAATTTTATAATACACAAAGAAGCATCTCATTCCTATGGCTTCACAGGTAATCCATATAGTTCCTGCTGATTTTGTTAATTAAATCACCAGTACTTAAGCAGCCAGTTTACCCTAAAACCATTCACCAGGTTCCAAATCCAGTTTAGTGTGTTAGGATTCCAATACCTTTCTGGGAGGTGGTGGCTCACACCTTCAATGCCAGCACTCAGAAGTCAGAGACAAGCAGATCTCTAAGTTTAAAACCAACCTGGTCTACAGAGTGAGTTACAGGACAGCCAAGGCTACATAGAGAAACCCTGTCACAAGCAAGCAAGCAAACAAACAAAAATATTACAATACTTTGCTGGATGGTGGTGTGTACATCTTTAATCCCAGAACTTGGGAGGCAGAGTCTGGTGGGTCTCTGAGTTCCAAGCCAGCCTGGACTACAGAGTGAGTTATGGGACAGCCAAAGCTACACAGAGAAATCCTGTCTTAACACCCCCAGCCCCAAGATTCCTATACCTCAACTAGTACTAGTGTTTTAGTCCTGTGTGAACTTCTTCATTTGAGGATCTAAGGTAGTGGTTCCTTTTGTATGAAATAATGCTGACTTTCACATATCACACATAATCGTAAGCAAGTAACTTCTTAAAAACTTATCATGCAGCCGGGCGGTGGTGGCGTATGCCTTTAATCCCAGCACTCGGGAGGCAGAGGCAGGCGGATCTCTGTGAGTTCGAGGCCGGGTTGGACCGATAGCCTCCAAAACAATACAGAGAACCCTGTCTCGAAACACCAAAAAAAAAAAAAAAAAAAAAAAAAATTTATCATGCCTTGAAGGAAAAAAGGTTATTTCCAACCTCAAAGGTCACAAACAGAAAAAGGAACTAAAAACAGTTTTAGTATTTTTAAAAGACCATTAACAAAAAGAGAAGTGGAGGCGTTTTCTAAGAATTACTGGTGCTATAAGAAAATTCTTTTAAGTGGCACATGCCTTTAATCCCAGCACTCGGGAGGCACAGGCAGGCGGATCTCTGTGAGTTCGAGGCCAGGCTGGACCGACAGCCTCCAAAACAATCAGAGAAACCCTGTCTCAAAAAAAAAAAAAAAAAAAAAAAGAAAATTCTTTTAAAACACTAGAATGTCCTCTAAAACAATGGCTGTTTATGCTATCAAACCACTGTAAAACACCTCTATTCCCAGGCCTAATCTGCATTGCACTACAAACTTAATTGAGCACAATGCTGCACATACATCAATACAAAAGCCAAGCCAAGTTTAGCTCCGCCTCATTAAACTTAACTGGAAAGGGGACCAGCAAGAGGAATGATGCTGCTAAGAAAATATTTCTACTTTAGTATCACAATGGCAGAACAAGCCATCTATGAAAGATATTTTCTACCTATTCAGTACTGTTGCAATCCTTCTAACAACAGTCAATACCTATTTGGCAACTAAGAAAAAAGTCTTGAAAATAAATGTGAACTAACACAAATTAGAAATTACATGATTAATTCTAATGATAGGTAAATTGTTAATTAATTTTACATTCAATTTCCTCTAAATGAATATGATGCTACCTGAAGTAGGAAAAAAAATGTGTGGGCTCAATCAGATGAAGCATTAAGCTAATGGCCAATAAATATATTAAGTTCCTAAACCAAGGAACACTGCTAACAAAAAAGGCTTGTAACTTACTTGAAGTATAGCTCTTTGAAGGTGAAGTGTGTCTCCACAATGCCTGTAGTTTTCACTCTTGTCCGAAGAACATCTTGTTGAGTTGGAATGTAGTTGTTCTGGGATATTCTATCCAAATCATTTAGGTAACTAGATGAAATATACATTGGTTTTTACTTGGTACAGTCAACCATGAACACAACAAGTCAACAGACTAAACTATCTGCTTGGCAAAAAGTATATTCTGAGACTAGCTGGGTACTAGCATGTGTAAGGCCCAAGGTTCAATCCCAAGTACCAATAAACCACCAAAAAAAAAAAAAAAGAGAGAGAGAGAGACCCTGAAACTCAGCAAAGGGACAGAAAAATATTAAATCTTCAGTATCACAGAATGATGGGGGAGGGGGAGAGTAAATCTAGCACAGAGAAATTAATAGCATCTATACATAGTAACAAAAATGGTTTTAAATATACTGTGAAGGCAAATTTTAAAAACATGGTAATTTTATTCCTGCTAAAGAAAACTTCCTGAAATCTAATATAATGAGTTAAATCAAACCTACAGGTGGCACAGACCTGTAACCCTAGACTCCAGAGTTCCAGGAAAGCCTGAGCTAGATAGTAAGACCTTATGAAAACAAAACACAAAAAGATTAAAACAAAAGCTCTCATATATTTACATTTATGTCAGCCACATAATAACTATTTGACAGCTTATTCATTAGAAAATGGCATTTAAATTAAGAAAATTAGAAGAACTATATTCAGTGAGATTATAGGTAGACATTAGTACAAGCCTGTAACCCAGCACTTGGAAGAGAAAGGTGGCCACAAGTTTGGAATCAATCAGGAAGATATATACACACACAGGAGTTTCAGACCAGCCTGGGCTATGTAACAAGATCCTCTTTCAAAACAGGGGGAAGAGAGCTGAGAAAGATTTAAAAAAAAAAAAAAAAAACAGCTAAATCTTCATTGATTCCAGACAAAAAAGCTGAAGAGCAGGTGGCACTACTTTAAGCGTGTTATTCAGATCTTCTACAAACTAATTACTAGGGTCAAGCTCGGATTAACAATTATGGAAGGAGGAAACTCTACAGACAGAGCTTACACAATATGTGACAGAAGAGGCAATTAAAAATCTACCTTTGAAGCTGGGTGTTGGTGGTGCATGCCCTTAATCCCAGGCAGAGGCAAGTGGGTCTCTGTGAGTTCGAGACCAGCCTGGTCTACAAGAGCTAGTTCCAGGACAGCCTCCAAAACCACAGAGAAACCCTGTCTCGAAAAACATCTACCTTTGATGACCACTGAATTACCTAAACTATCACTGTGCATATAAAAACATTCTTATTTTTAAAAAGTGGACAAGAATCCTTTTACTGTTTGCTAAATCATTTCCACTAAAAGAGTACATAAGCTTCACAAATACCATTTAATTTCTTATAACAATCTGTGACAAAAATGAGGATGGAAAAATATACTAGTAGAAAATACCCTAACAATCAAAAATACTTTATCTGGTTCAGAGAGCTACAGATGGCAAGCACTAAACAGACACCCCCAAAAAAGCACATTTAAAAAAGACTCCATGAACATAGGTCTTGAAAATAAATCTGTAGCCAGGCTGTGGTGGCGCATGCTTTAATCCCAGCTCTGGGGAGGCAGAGACAAGTGGATCTCTGTGAGATCCAGGCCAACCTGGTTTACAAAGAGAGTTCCAGGACAGGATCCAAAGCTACAGAGAAACCACCTCAAAACAAACAAACAAAAAAAGAAAACAAAATAAGTAAATGTGTAGGGGCCAAAACAGGATCCCATGTAATAGTAAAGTACGAGTAATGGTTACCAGTTCTCCAAAACAAATACTCAAGAGAATTTTCTTGACAAGGAAATGAGCCAACTCCATTCTATGACACAACTTCGTCATTCTATACAAGTCTACTACCATAGTCTGGTACAAGATGTAAACTCTGCTGGGTTTTGTGGTGCAGGCTTGTAATTTCAGCTATTTAAAAGCTAAAGCAGAGGGATCACAAGTTGAGATCTGCCTGGGCTATAGAATGACTTCAATGCCAATGAGTGAGATTGTATCTCAAAAACTAAAGAGGCTGAGGATGTACAGCATGTGCTGAACATGCATGAGACTTTGGTTCAATCCCTAGTATGCACCCTCACACACACACACACACACAAGTAAGTAGTATTGACTACTACCAGAAGAATTCATAGTACAGCCAATAGAGAGAGTATAAAAAGGGCTACCACAGCCGGGCGTTGGTGGCACACGCCTTTAATCCCAGCACTCGGGAGGCAGAGGCAGGTGGATCTCTGTGAGTTCGAGGACAGCCTGGCCTAAAGAGAGAGCTCCAGAACAGCCTCCAAAACAATACAGAGAAACCCTGTCTTGAAAAACCAAAAAAAAAAAAAAAAAAGGGGGGGGGGCTGCCACACCAGATGTGGTGCTGCACACTTTTTTTAATTCTAGCATAGTAAGCAGAGGCAGGTGGATCTCTGTGTGTTCAAGGCCAGCCAGGGCTACAGTGAGATCCTGTCTCAAATACAACAATAACAAACCAGGGTGTGTGTGTGTGTGTGCGTGTGCGTGTGTGTGTGTGTGTGTGTGTGTGTGTGTGTGTGTGTGTAGGGTATGTCCAATTTTAACTTCCCCCTCCACCTGGCTATCAATGCCTTGTCCTATACCTATACACAGGCAACTCACCTCTACTAGAGGTCTCACCTCCACTTGCTTACTATAAATGTACCACAGGATAGCCTTAAAATAAGACAGCTGTAATAAAGGATCCTATAGACCTCTGGACATTTCTAATACTTCAACATTTCCTTAAGGATAGGTACTGAACTTGCTCTAGAATCTCCAAATCATTTTCTATTACAGTTTCAAGGGGGAAAAAATTACTTACTAGGAAGCAGAATCGTTGAGCTGATACTCCCTGGACCTGCTGAAACATGCCTGCACCCCACCATCTCGCCAAAGCCGTTTAATCACACCTGCGAGTTCTGAAGTCATGACTCCTTCTTCAGCACTGCCAGCTAGGACGAATAACTGTCGGGCATCATCCTGAGGAAGAGTTACGAGAGGAACAGATGAGTCCCGCTTCTTTAAGACTAGATGAGTCTCATTCTACACACACTCATGCACTTGAGCGTGTGCACACACACTTTAGATGTCATACCACCACCCTCCCGATGGACTCACAATCCTCTATCCTGATGACTCACGATTAATGACGGGGTAGGGGTAAGGGATACTTACTGGTCTGAGAGACAAATATATGTAACAGATTTCCATTCTGTTACAGTAAGCCCTTAATAAGAATCCGGAGCATTGCCCAGTGATAAAGTACATGCTGTATAAGCATGAGGACCTGAGTTCAGATCCATGTAAAAGCTGGATGTAACAGCACAAGCCTGTAACCTCAGTGCTTGGGGAGCAGAGAAAGAAGGATCCCTGGAGGTCACTGGCCTACCAGTCTGGCCAAAATGGCATGTTCCACATTTGGAGAGACACTGTCTCCAAACAAGGTGGAAGATGGCAGAGGAAAACACCTTGAAGTCGACTTCCAGCCTCCACACTCTATGCCCACATACATGTATGCATGCGTGCATATTCCCTAGACCTGCTAGGGGTGTAGCTCAGTGGCAGAGCACTTGCCTATCATATACAGAAATGAAAAGATTTACACATGAGAAGTAAACACGGCACAGGGCTACGACATTGATCAAGTTAAGGCAAAGGCTGCTTGCTGCTTCCCCTTCACTACAGACAGCAGACTGGAAGGCGATGAAGCATGAAAGCCCAGTGACAGGAACCAAGCCCTCAGGGAAAATTTTTAGTCTCTAGATTTCCTAAACGAACACTATTAACATTCTACAACAGGGAAAGATGGAAGCAGGAGGGGAAATGGCAGCGGAATGACGTGATCAGAATGTCACGAGTTTCAGACAGGAATTCTAGTAGTTTGCAAGTCTTAAGGTGATATGAGAATTTTGATGATTTTAATTTATCTTATCCACTCCTTCATGAAAATGTAAAACTGAACTCAGCAAGGCAGTGGTGGCACACACCTTTAATCCAAGCAATCAGGGAGGCAGAGGCAGGCAGATCTCTAAATTCAATGTCTATAGACTGAGATAGGACAGCCAGGGCCACACGAAGACTCCCTGTCTCAAAACATCAAAACCAAACCCAATCTCAAAGATTTCCCTATATAAACCTAATATTTACAACCTCAAAAATTCCACGTAACTTTTTTTTCCTCTCTCTTTTTTTTTTTTTGTTTTTTTTTGTTTTTTGTTTTTTGTTTTTTGACAAAAAACAAAATTTCTTTGTGGCTTTGGATCCTGTCCTGGAACTTGCTCTTGTAGACCAGGCTGGTCTTGAACTCATAGGTATCTACCTGCCTCTGCCACCTGGGATTAAAGATGTGCACCACCACTGCCCAGCCATTTATATCTAAGTAGTCATTAACAACAAAAACTAGCAAGCAAAAAAAGCATTGTGGAACACAGATACAGTAACACCTACAATTTGTACATCTACCTAATCACTCACAAAGTCACACTTAAATTAACTTTGTCAAATTCTGCCATCAAGATCCTGTTTAGGGCTGGAGAGATGGCTCAGCGGTTAAGAGCACTGACTGTTCTTCCAGAGGTCTTGAGTCCAATTCCCAGCAACCATATGGTGGCTCACAACCATCTATAATGAGATCTGGTGCCCTCTTCTGGTCTGTAGGCATACATGCAGATAGAATACTGTATACATAATAAAAAAAATCTTTAAAAAAAAAAGAATCCTGTCCAATACTCATTCTGGTAATAATGTAGATCTTCTCTGCAACAAACTTCATACACAATCTGCATTTCACACTCTTGTTTCTTTTTTCACAAGGTGTGAGAGGGTTGTATGTATGTGTGTACATACACGCATGTCTGTACATACAGGAGAGCCAGAGAAAGATGTCAGATGTCTCTATCATTCTTTGCCTTATTCCCTTTCGACACAGTCTCTCACTGAACCTCAAGCTACTGGTTAGCCAACAAGCTTCCAGGATCTGTCTGTCTCTGCCCCCCAGTACAGGGGCTACAGATACATAGGACCATGCATGATTCCCTTTTAATGATGGTACGTAGGATTTGAATTCAGGTCTTCATGCTTACACACCAAGCACTCGTAGCCACTGAATCATCTCCCCAGTCCCTTCTTCTCTCTTTCAAAATAATAATGATGATGATGCAATAGATAGACAGACAGAGAGCAAATGATTAAGAAATGTTTAAGCATTATACAAACTGCCAAACACACTAAATAACAAGACTTTTTTCATATATAGTATATTACTTTATGTAACATACATACAAATTTCAGGTCACTACACAAGATGTGAAATTTGACCTATACTCTAGCAGATATACAATTAACTAAGCACCTGTATTTTTTCAATACCATATTATTCAAATTTTAGAAATTTAAAAATACTATATACTGGTACTGTTCTAACTCTGAGAATATTCTTAATTGCTCACCAGCCTGCTCTAGCTGCCTCAAAATAAAACCTCCTCTGTAGCCTTACAGAATCCACTCTTTACAAATTTTATACTTCTTAAACAGATATGAAAGAATACTGTCCCATACTTGGCTCTATTCTTTTCTTTTCACTCTCCAGTAACCATTAAAACCTAGAGTAATAAAAAAGATAAATACAAATATAAACCCTTAGCTATGAGAGAAAAAAAGAACTTTGAAAGTTTATTTTAAAAGGACTTTTGATTAGGCTAAGTGGATGTTGTAAAGATAGATGACTCAGGAATCATGAGGAATTAAGAATGTCAGGTCTACCTAGTGACACAAGAGTATTACTGATCCCAGCTGTGACTGTGCGTGAACATGAGCATATGTGTGGAGCAAAGGACAATCTCAGGTACTGTTGCTAAGGAGCATCTGTTTGTTTGAGGCAGGGTCTCTGTTTGGCCTGTGGCTCACTGATTCAGCCTGGCCAGAGCACCCCAGCATCCTCCTATCTCTGTCTCCCCAACACTAGGGTTATAAGTGCACACCATTAGTACCTGGCTTTGTTGTGAGTCCTGGGGACCAAACTTAGGTTGTCATAGCAAGCAAGGACTTTGCTGGCTGAGCTCTCTCCCCAGGCCCTGATGACATCTGATGAAAGAAGTAAATGAAAGGGAGTAATGGTCAAGAGAAATCGAGGTGGACAGATGATGGGAAGAAGTAAGGAGAGCAAAAGGAAGACATCTGGGAAAGTAAGAGGAATAAATAACAGGAGAAAACGTCAACAAAGAGAAGAAAAAAATCAATAACCACAGTAACGCTAACCAACTATAAAATACAAAAAATATTAGAGAGAAGTAGCTAGATGACATGAAGGGAGAGAAAAAGACAGAGTTCTAGTACAAAAGAGAAAAGTCAATGAGAGACAAAGAATGGAAAGGGGCTAAGATAGGAATAAAAACTTGACTTTACTTGAACTCTCAAATTTCCCAAAGAACAGAAAACTAGCCTGTGCGGGAAGATTACCGTGAGTTCAAATCCAACTGACATAGTCTAAGACACTATGTCTAAAAACCAAAAATGGGGGTCTGGAGGGAAGGCGTAGCAGCCAAGAGCATGCACGGCTCTTGCAGAGCCAGCGTTGGAGTCTCCGAACCCACATAAAGTAGCTTCCAAGTGCCATAATTCCAGCTCCAAGGGGATCCACATGTATATGTGCATATCCACATCCAGACACACATATACTCATAATTTAAATAAAATTCAAAGAGAAAAGGGGAAAAAAAGCAGGAAATAGCCTCTGGGCTAAATGTTGTTCACTTACTCACTCACCTAGCATTGCTATGCCCAGGAGGAAAGAAGAGGCCTAAACTATGTCATATGGCAATGAAAGTCACTCACATTTTCCTTCCCCTTCTTTTTTGCCATTCTTTTCTCTCAGAACCCTTAATCTAGGTCCTGTTCCCTTATTTCATCTCAAAGATATATCTACTCAAGAACAAACTGAAACCACAATGGCCCTTTTCATATTTTCCCTTCAGTTTCCCACTTATCAAATATTATCTTGCACTTGATAAACTGAGTAGCTGGTAAGAGTCCCTAAGGTACTCACAAGCATACAATTTTGTCTTTCTAGACAAAGCCCCAAAGTCACTTCCATTTATTTTCCCATGGCAAATAAATGGTCTCCTGTCTCCTGTCTTCATTTTGGCCTTTTGTCCACTGGCATCAACCATCTAACTTCAAAACTGCTCTCAAAGTCTACTAAACATTATTATTTTAAATTCTGATGTGTACAAAGCATTAAAAAGTTATATTTGAGTAAGTAATAATCCAATTATGTAACCCAGAGTTCAATGTAAGATAGTGATAACATATTTTTGAATACCTGAAATCAATTCTAAAATTGGGGAATTTGTGTTTATGTCTTTACAGAATTTCTTTTGGAAAACTGTTTTTTTTTTTCCCCTTGACCCCCACAGCTCAGAAAACAGGGCTAAATATGCAATATGTCTTTCAGAGTAAAATTACTATCATCAACTACTATAAAATATGTCAATTATACTGTGAAGGAAACTACTGAAACTTAAGTGTATCTACAGAATCACATTTCCAGGGCTCTGCTTGAAGCAGTAACTTGCTGTCTACTGAGTCAGATAGCCAGCACTTCAAAAATAAGCACACAGAGCCAGGCGGTGGTGGCACACGCCTTTAATCCCAGCACTCGGGAGGCAGAGGCAGGCAGATCTATGTGAATTCGAGGCCCGGCTGGACCGACAGCCTCCAAAACAATACAGAGAAACCCTGTCTCGTAAAACCACAAAATAAATAAATAAGCACACAGTATTTTGCACCATCTTATCTTCTTGTTCCCTAAAACATGACGCAAATTTGACTTAACTGCATCTACAGAAGAGCAGCAAGCGAAGAGGAAATGAGAAATACTCACTGCTCTGGCAGCTTCCCCAAAATCAATCTTTAGCCGTCCCATGGCTCTTATGATTGCAATGATGGACTGAATAGTATTACTGTAGACAACTACTTTATACTGTTTACATTCATCCTCTGAGTAGCCATCCTCATGAATGATTCTTCAAAAAGAAGAAAACCACAAGTCAATACTATGAATGGAAAATGAAAACATTATGAACTTTCTATAAAGAGGGAGAAATCCAGGCCCTGTGTGAACTTACTTCATCTGTTTCACAATGGTACTTTTACCAGATTCTCCAGCACCTGAAAAGAAATACAACAAAAATAGATTTTGAGTTTCTTTGTAGGCAAACAAAGGTATGGAGTAATGTGACTGGTTAATGAAAAACATAGGTTCCGTTAAATTTTGGGGAGTTTCTCAACTAAAGCATTTTGCTTTCTTTATATTGTGCAAAACAAACACTACTCAAGGACAACAACACAAATATTTTCAGTAACATCAGAAAACACAATATACTCAATGAACACAGGCAAAAGAGCAATTGCAAATTTGTGGCCTATGGCCTACTCATAGTTATTAATTCTGTGACCTGTCAATGGACCTAAGGAATGTTCCAGAAGCAATCCTTTCAGTCACAGGGCTAGAACATTGCCTCTACCTTTCATGACACAGCTCCTCTTCCTGGAAGGGTTGTACCACCCTCCTTAGTCAACTGGAATCACTTAGGCTAAAGATCAAAGGTCAGATAAACTTTCAGATCTTGAAAAGTCTGCCTGCTAGATCCTCCCTGCTCAATAATTCTTCCATCTTCCAAAATGCCTCTTAAAACGTTACATCACTCCATCATCAAATGCTACTTCTGATCCATAAATGACAACCCTGCCCCTTTTGTTTTAGAAAAAGGCAACCAGAGAACACCACCTCATTTTTATAACCAAATCTACTAATCTACCGTATCTCCATTAATATTCTCTAGCTTCATCAATAGATAAGCTGTCTCTTCAATGCCCTTTACTGCTCTACTTATTTACTTATCTCTTTGTTTCCCCTCCCCTGTGGCTGCTGGAGTGTCCAGTATCACTGGAATGTTACTGTTTTTCTCCTCTTACTGTCAGTCTTAGCACACAAACCATTATTCACACCCCACCCCTACCTTTCTCGGACCCCCACACACACCCATTTTCCTCTCTACTACTCCATTTTCCCTGTGCCTCTTTTAAAAAGCTCTATTCCATTTCCTCATTTTATGGGGGGCCGGGGCAGGAGCAACAACACACATGACAGAACATATGTGGAGGTCAGAGGGCAACCTACAGGAGTTAGTTCTCAACTTCCTCCTGAGGATCACAGGGATCAACTCAGGTTTTCAGACTTAAAAACAAGCAACTCTACTCACAGAGCAGCTATTTTGGCTACCGCTCTTTGTGTCTCTTTAGAGCAAAATTTCCCTAGTGTGTCATCTATACTTAAAATCTCCAATTAAACACCTCCAAGCCATCCCCACTCTCCTGAAGCCATTTCTCAAGGTCTCCAAGGCACTTGCACCTTTGACATGCTGAGTGATCATTTCCTGGCCTTACTCTGCCTTTCAAATCTGCTTTTTCCAAGTTGGTTCTTGTCTTTTTACTATCTTACCTAATTTGATAGTTTGAAGCACTATTCATGAATGAAAGTTAACCTCCAAAGAGATGCACACATCAGGATATTCTATGTACTTTGCTAATGCTAACTCATTCAATCCTCACAACTCTGTAAGACAGACACTATTACCCTCATTTTATAACGAGATAAATGAAGCAGAAAGGTCAGGGAAATTGTCCACAGTTACACAGCAGGTGACAAAACAGACATTTCCATTCAGCTTCACTTCAAAGCTGGCATGTGCTAGATTCCCAAAGACCTCCAATCTTACTTTCCAAACTTGGCTTTAAATTCATCACCTGCCATATATATCACAGTAGATGTCTCATAGGCATCTCAAACTTAATGCCCAATATTGAGAGAGTTACTCATTCCCCATATCTAGCTCAAACAAAGTTGCTCTTCCTTCAGTCTTGTCATCCCAGTAAATGGTACTAACATTTAACTAACTTGCTAAGGTCAAAACTGGCAAGCGGGGATGGAGAGACGGCTCAGAGGTTAAGAGCACTCGCTGCTCTTCCAGAGGTCCTGTTCAATTCCCAGCAACCACATGGTGGTTCACAACCATCTGTAATGAGATCTGGTGCCCTCTTCTGGCCTGCAGGTATACATGTAGACAGAACACTGTATACATAATAAATAAATCTTTAAAAAAAAACAACCTGCCAAGGAATAATGGGGAATGTTCTTCTGTATATATGTTTCTCTTATTTGTTAATGAATAAAACACTGATTGGCTGATTGACCAGACAGGAAGTGACATAGCTGGGCAAAACCAGGATACAAACAGGGACAAACAGGAAGTTGTTCTCTTCTCTGTAGAGATGCTGAGCAATCATCATGTAGCAAGCAAAGGAGTTGCAGGTCCGGCACTCCCCCATGAGCCAAGACCATATGGATTTACTTAGATTAATAGAACTTGGTTAATAATTAAGACAGGGCTAGCCAATAAGAAACCCTAGACAATGGCCAACAGTTTCATAATTAATATAAGTCTTTGTGTGTTTACTTGGGGGCTGAGGCAGCTGTGGAGCCAGGCAGAAATTTCGTAACAAAGGAACATAGAAGGAACACAGAGATGGAATGAGGGCTCCAGTGTTAATACATGTTAAATATTAGTAAAATCTGGTATATATTTTGTTTTTGCTTTTGTTTTTTGTGTGTGGTTTTTCAAGATAGGGTTTCTTTGTGTAGTCTTGGCTGGCCTGGAACTCTCTCTGTAGACCAAGGTGGCCTTGAACTCTGTGGGGTCACATGTGTATGGCACGCCTGTCTGGATCATGCCACGACACTGACAAGAGTTGCCTCATGGCCTCTATTTACACTCAAATTATAACATGTGGGCAATAAAGTCCAATGTACTCTGGTCGCTGCCTACCACCTCACCCTCATTTCTGTTCTGTCAACGCTCTTGTCAAGCCAGCTTCTTTGTGTTTCCTCTAACATGCAAAACTGGTTCTTACCAATCTAGATTCTGACTCACAGTTTCCACATTTGCTGTTCCCTTGGACTGAAATAATTTTTGCAAGATTTTCTTCTTCGCTCACATCTCTGCTCCTCTAGAACATTTCCTGATGAAATTACCTGAGTATCTGCAACCCCACACCATCTCATTTCTTCACAGCATGTATCTTCACAACAGACTTACTTTTCTCATCTTCCCACTAAAACAAAAGCTCTGCCAAGTTGTTCTTCCCTGTGTTCCCAGGGGCCCCAACTGGTCCTGATAGCAATTAGCCAAATAATTAATAAAATAAATATTCAACAAATGTGTTGAGAGATGGCTCAGAGCACTGGCTGCTCTTCCATAGGTCGTGAGTTCAATTCCCAGTAACAACATGGTGGCTCACAACCATCTATAATAAGATCTGGTGCCCTCTTCTGATATGCAGGCATACATGAAGGCAGAATGTTGTATACCTAATAAATAAATAAATCTTAAAAAAAAAGATAGCATCTAAATATAAACACCCAAAATAACTACATACTTCCAGAATCAAGAAGTTTTTATATGGGGTGGAGAGATGGTTCAGTGGTTAAGAGCACTGGCCACTCTTCTGAAGGACCTGAATTCAATCCCCAGCACCCACATGGCAGCTCACAACTCTCTGTAACTACAATTCCAGGGCATCTGGCATCCTCATAAAGACAGACATACATGCAGACAAAACCCCAATGTACATAAAAAGTGAAAAAATCTTCAAAAAATGTGTTTGTATATATGACTTTATCTCTGTTCTTAGTACAGTATTCAAGTAGCACCGTGTCTTTCTTATGACACTGTCAAAAATATGAAAAACTTTTTCAGTTCTGGGGAAAAACAGACATGCATGCTGAATGTTTTTTAAATTGTCAAACTCAGAATTCCAGACCATCCCATGTGAACATTAGTGTAATGAAATACTGAATGTTCTGCTTTCAACATTGAAAATGGTATTCCTACTGCTCATGTCTGATTCCTTTGAAAGGCATTACAAAAATCACCACTGATTTCTACCCATCTCCCTAAGTTCTACTCTATGAAAGCATATGTACGTACGTGTACACACGTACACACACACACACACACACACACACACACACACACACACACACACACACATACACACACACACACAGAGTCAGGCATTATGCTGGCCTGCCCCTGTCACCTGGCAGAATGCACTCTGGTGCAAAGGACCCTTTTAAAAGACCTCCACCCACTTGCGCTCTCTTTCCCTTTCTCTTTCTGGCTGTTCTCCTGAGGCAGACAACACTTTTCCTCTCTCCCTCTTCTCTTCTGTCCTCTCTGTCTGTGTCTCTTACCTCTTTTCTTTCCTTCCCCCACCCTTCCCCTTTCTAATAAAACTTCTCACTAAGCCCTGTCTGCCTGGCATGTTTGTCCCTCCGCCTCAGTCACCCTCGCCTGCCTCGGAATCCAGCAAGGTTCCCAACGTACTTTGTCATAACAACACCTACCTCTACGCTGTCCTACTTTTCTCATATTTCTCAAAGGTTCCCTAGATAACATCATTTTGGGAGCTGGGAATACAACTCAGTAGTAGAACACTTATCTGGCATGTGCAAGGCTCTGGGTTCCACCACCTGGATTTCGAAAAGAAGGAAAAGAATATGTCTGCCTGCCCTTCCTTTTATTATTACTCTGCATATTTCTCCCCTAGCTTTTATTAAGGGTCTGATCCATCCCATAAATGAAGGCAACTCTTACTGCCTACAGGGTTTGTTTTCAGTGTGTGTTACTAGGTATGTGCTATGCATAAAGAGTGAGTCACATTTTATATCAAAAGGCATTAGCCCATTCAGTCTGTAGATGCTCATAAACAGTGCCACCACTGTGTCCATCTTCCAAGTACATTCTGAAATCTGAGTCATTGGAATCCACTCACTATTCTAGATGTCTTAGTTAGGGGTTTCTATCACTGATAAAACATCATGACCCAAAGCAACTTGGGAAGGAAAGGGTTTATTTCATCTTAACAAATCTAAGGTCACACTCTATCACTGAGGGAAGTCAGGGCAGGAGCTCAAACAGGGTAGGAACATGGAGGCAGAGTTGATGCAGAGAGAAGCATGGAGGGGTACTGTTCACTGGCCTGCTCCTAATGGTTTGCTCGTCTGCTTTTTGTTTAGGGGGGAGGGGTTCAATACAGGGATTCTCTGT